GGCGCTCCTGCCATGGGTTCGGATCCTATATAGGGATGGCCGGTGCGCTCACTGGCTGAGCACAGGGCAGGCGACACCAAGCCAAGGGTTACGATCCCCTTACCGGTCACAAAAAAAAAAACCACTTAGTGGAAAAATAGCATTAAAAGGTAATACTAATCTTCCTATAAACTTTTTGAAGTATCCTTGTACATTTATATATGCTCTGTTCAAAACCAGTTAGTTCTTAAAAAAATACATTTTAACATTAGTCAATGCAATGAAATAACCTTAATCTTTAGAGAATGAATCATTCAAACTAATACACTTTAATAAAGGAAACTTATTTATTATTTTTAATTGATACATAATAATTGTACATATTTATGGGATACAGTGTGATGTTTTGATACATGAATACAATGTGTAATGATCAAATCAGGGTAATTAGCATATCCATCACCTTGAACATTTATAATTTCTTTATGTTGGGAACATTCAAAATCCTCTCTTCTAGCTATTTGAAAATAGAAACTAAATCGTTGTTAACTATAGTCATTCTATAGTGCTGTAGAGCACTAGAACTTCTTCCTATTTTCTAGCTGTAATTTTGAATTCATTAACTAACGTCTCCCATCCACCGTCCCCTCTTCTCAGCCTCTAATAACCACTATTCTTACTCTCTACTTCTATGAGATCAACCTTCTAGCTCCCACAAGTGAGTGAGAACATGCGGCATTTGTCTTTCTGCACCTGGCTTATTTCACTTAACATGTCCTCCAGGCTCATCCATGTTACTGTGAATGACAGGATCTCATTCTTTTTTATGGCTGGATAGTGTTCCATTTTGTATATATACCACATTTTCTTTATTCACTCATCAGTTGATGGACACTTAGATTGATTCCATGTCTTGGATATTGTGAATAATGCTGCAGTGAACATGGGAGTACAGATTTCTCTTTGGCACGCTGATTTCTAAAGGATTTTTTGTATTGTTTAATACAATACTTCTCTATTCTCTTTCTCCTTTGTCTCAACCTGACTTTTTCTCAATTGACTTTGATGTAGAATTGAAATACAATCTATGAAGAAGTATTCTTGTTCCTTGTTTGATTCATCTTTCCTTTAAAACAGATGAGCCTAACATTTTTTATTTTCTTTTTCACATATCCAAATTAAGTGTTTGGTACTTCCTCTGGCTCATGATTGATTTTTATTTTGAGACCAGTGTGACCCATGATAAAAAATGTTCTCATCTCTCATGTAAAAGGCTATATTCATAGCTTGTCTAGTTGGATTGGCTTTAAACCAAGTGTCTTAATTTATTCAGGCTGATATAACAAAGTACCTTAGACTGGGTCATTTATAAACAACAGAAATTTATTGCTCACAGTTCTGGAGGCTAGGAAGCCCACGATCAAGGCACCAGCAGATTTCTGTGTCTGGTAAGGGCTCGCTTTCTGCTTCATAGATGGTATCTTTCGGCTGCTTCTTCACACAGCAGGAGAGGCAGGGAAGCTCCCTTCAACCTCTTTTATAAGGACACTAATCCCATTCATGAAGGCAGAGCCCTCATGACTTAGTCACTTTTCCAAATGCCCCACCTAGGGCTGAGCCCGTGGCGCACTCGGGAGAGTGCAGCGCTGGGAGCACAGAAGCGCTCCCGCTGCAGGTTCGGATCCTATATAGGGATGGCCGGTGCGATGCACTCACTGGCTGAGCGCGGTGCGGCTGGTCACAAAAAGGACAAAAAAAAAAAAGTGCCCCACCCATTAATACTACTGCAATGGGGATTAAGTTTCAATGTGAATTTTGGAGGGACACATTCAAACCATAGCACCAAGAGTTCTCCTAGCTGCTTCATAAATAGAGATTTCTCACATTTGAGAAGAGATTAGTAATACCAAGCTTTGCCACTCCAGTCCTGGAGAATACAGAGAAAGGAGTTCAACTGAATAATCGATGGTAGCCTATATGAAGGTCTTAAATCCAAATGCCAAATATGCTCACATGGGGTAGAAGAAATATCATAGCACACTTTTATGAGGCCATTAGCTTTTCTTGACTCTACTTGTACTTTTTATATAAAGCAAACAAGACTTTCCCAAAATTAGCATGATCATTCACAGAAGTCAGCAAAAGCCAGATGATAACCTAACATTTACTGAACTATCACACTGTTATTTTAATATCTAACACACACTTACTGAACTAATATCTAGCATTACTATGCTAATAACATTGCTTTAATTGTCCCATTTACTAATTGAATTGACTCAGACAGATACTT